TCCATCCCCTCCCCCGCCTGGGAAGACCTGGCCGCTCCCCCCGCCCCGTCCTCAGTAGCCGCGGGCGCTGGGCGGCGGACGAGCGGCGCGGAGCGGGGAGCCGGGAGCCTGAGCCCCGGGGCTGCGGCCGCCCTGCCCTCCGTCCGTCCTGCGGGCTGCCAGGTACGACCAAAACCCTTCCCGGTGTTGGCACTGGGGGAAGAGGCAGCCTCCAGAGACCTGGGTGGGCAGCAGCGGAGCTGGGGATGGGGTCTGAGTGGGGCAGCCGGGGACCGGGCAGTCCGAGATAACAGCGTCTCTAAGGTGATAGTTTTTTTTTTTTTGGGATGTCATTCTTCCTACGAGGGTCGTTTTTAAAAAGTTATGAGGCTAGCGATGTCAATACGTTGCGCTTGGCAGCTGAGATGTTTTGTATAAAGTTCCTGCCTCTTTAGCCTGATGGATAATTTTTGATAGGACAAAAATGCCACGCGTTTCTCTGGTCCTTGTTTTTCAGTATTTGAAGCCGGTTTCACRAGACGGCTTAATGTGACTGAGCAAGGGGCATATTTTTGAGTTTTCGGGGGTTTGTGTCTGTGCTGTGCCTTCTGCGGGGAGCAGGCGAGGAGCCTCTTCACCCTTCAAAACAAACTCTCCTTTAATTCTGATTCATCCCTCAGTGTTAGCGCTACCATCTCCACGCTCCTCTGGAATTGAGACTAATTTCATCCAGATTCGTCACTGCTGGAAGCAGATTTATCTTGGAATGGCAAAAATAAAAGAGCCGTGCCAAGGTATTTAACTTGCAGGCTTTACAGAGGGGAAACTCGTTTGGATCAGGCGCGGAAAAGCAGAGCCTCCTGCGGAAAGCAGGAGCAGGGGATGGCTAAGGAGCGACAGTGTTAAAGACTCCCTCCCCAAATCTTCGTCTTCCACCAGGATAGCTCTGGGCTTTAATAGGCACAGCGGAGAGGGCAGTGCGAAGGCGACCATCCCGGCAAAACCCTCCCGTCSCCGCGGCTCCTCCGACCGGTTCCCGATTTGTGCCCGCCCGTTCTGTCCCGGGGACGCTGCCCGGCTGGCAGGGATCGACCCTGGAGCTCCTCAGCAGCAAAGCAATGGCCGGGACGCGACCTCCTTCCCCTCCGCCTCCTCCCGGCTTCGAGGAGCGGGGAGAGGAGCCCGGGGATGGGGAAGGTCGGGAGGGGCGGCCCAGAGGAGCGGGGAGAGGA